ACTACTTAGAGCTTTGTATGAATCTGGTGGCTTCAGTGATTTGCTGGGCTGGTAGAAGCTGAGAGAAGGACAGGAAGTGAGAGGAGAATGTTAACTAGACTGAGAGCAATTATGATCAACTCGTCTCAGCCTCCATACGAGATTGTGGGGGCCTTAAGTAGCTCCTTCAGCGGCAAACAGATGCGTCCATGTTTTAGAAAGGAGAGATGCCACACATATCAACTGCTGTCTCTTTGGCACTTATTTTTATTAAGTTTTCTCATAGACAATATTGTGCTACAATCTGACAGCCCTGTAACTAGATTACAGCACCGTCACAAATCTAGGTCAATTTGTTTAAAATCCTACTCAGTATATTATTTACTTTTCTTCTCTTGTCTTTTCTGTTCCAATTTATATTAAAATCCCCCAATAACATCACTTCCTTTCACAAATTACACTGCCTGAATAATAACTCATTATAACAAACTTATAATAAGACTCTGCTCTCTTATCATTAGACCCTGAAATTAGTAGGATTCACTGATTACATCTTTTTCAAGTACTGGAAAAATTTCAGTGAGGAAACAATTTTGTTAAATATTATTCAGCAGTCCCTCAGCTGAATAATGACAAACAGGAATATGTCTCAAACAATAATCAATAGGGGCCACAGACAAGGCTGTGGGAATAATTGTTCGCACAATTTTCTTCAGTATGTTTTGATGCCAAAGCATTTAAGATGACGTGACGCTTTTGCTACTGTATGCAGATTTGGAAGGCAGTGGGATGGCGCCTGATTGCTTTATCACTGGGTCTTTATGGGCTTCTCTACGTCTATGAGCGACTCACATGGACTACCAAAGCCAAAGAGAGAGCCTTCAAGCGACAGTTTGTGGACTACGCCAGTGAGAAGCTGCAGCTGATTGTCAGCTACACTGGATCCAACTGCAGCCACCAAGTGCAGCAGTGAGTTTCAATCATGGTGTCAAAGGATACAAAAATCAGATAATACGTTTCGACAGTAAAGAGTGTCGACTACTTGGTCACAGCAGAGCTGCGTAAACTTGTTGTGTTTCGGTCTTGTCTTTGACAGAGAGCTGACAAGCGTGTTTGCACAGCTGTGCCTGCAGGTAGACGTCACCCGTCAGAACCTCGATGATGAAGTCAATGAAATTAACAGGAAGATTGAGCTCTTGGATAATCTACAGAGCAAGGCTAAGCTTCTACGGTAAGATACCGCTGTATAATGTGTTTGGAGTTACAGGATGGGCTACATGTCGGTGTCTTCGTTGTCCACATGACGACGCAAGGGAAGGATTTTTGAGACCCGTTTTATTATTTTTACGATAGTGAAAAACTTGACCATTTTAGAAAAAAAACATTTCTGTGTGGTCAGATCCTATGGAAACCCAGCAGACTATTGAGTCGGATCCTAAGGACCATATGCCTTAGTGCATTTAGATGTTTGTGTACTCAATATTCTGCCTTGTGTCTGTTCTGGTCATAGCTTTACTGAAAATTAATATTAAAACCTTCTTAGAAAACCGGACATTGTCCTTTTATTAATATTTATTTTTACCCTGTCAGTCACTCCCCGATGCCTAAATGCAGATCTGAATTCCGTCCTTTTTTTTTCTCTCGTTAGGAACAAGGCAGGTTGGTTGGACAGTGAGCTCAATATGTTCACCCAGCAGTACCTCCAGCAGAGCAAGTGACCCAGGCGGAGCTTCCTTTGAGACTGAGCATCGTCAGAACATGTAAAATGCGTGCATGGCTAATTCGTGATGTAATTGTAATGTTCTGTTCAGAAGACACGGCTAACACAAGTCAACGGAGATCTTTGGTAGTTGCTATGTGCTTCTATGGAGATAAACTGTGCAGTATGCATGTCATGCAAAGCCTATTTGAACGACGACAGAAGTAAATATTCCTCTCTGTACATCTCCATGTGCGTCCTTTCATCCTCACATGAACAGTCGGTACATCCAAGGAATTTCAGTGTCATGTTTGTAGGATAAGTTATAATTTAACTGAAAAAGTAACACACTTTGTTCTCACTGTTAGCATCTTAACCTGTGGATGTCCTCAACCAGTGTGTAAAAAGCTTCAATGTCCTTCTGCTTTTGGAGTTACGTCGGCTCAAATCAGTTTGCTTTATAGCTCTGATTCAGCAACAAACGTTTCAAGTAGGGCTGCACAATTCAGTGTGAACATTTTGTCGTCGCAATATAAGCCGTACGCAATATTCACATTGCAGTGCAATAATAGTTGGGTAATGCAATTCGACTATAATGAACTTAGATCTCTCTTTTTTTATGCTATTGTTATGCTTAGCCAGTTTGATAGACTCGTGGCAGCAGATGCTCACACCAAACACTAATGATTTTAGATGAAATGCTAAAGGTCAGAGAGTGGTAGAAGCTCAGGTCAGGAAGGAAAGGAGAAACTGATATTGTCGACAAAATGTTTACCAAAGTTATCGCAAGATTTTCTAATATCGTGCGGCCCTATTTCAAGCACTTTACGAACCAAACAGATTCTGTTTGTGTACAAAAATATACTATAGCCTCTGTCTAAACACACAGATACCAAGTCAAGTACAAAATCATTTCAATTTGATCCTATTTATAAAACAAAGCAGTGAAGTTTATTCATCATTCAACTTGGTCAAAGCGTTCTATCAACAGAAACCTTTTGACGCATGCACAGCTAAAAACCAATTATTCCAGAGCCGCCTTATATTCAACTTGTAGCCTAATTTATTGTTGACCATATTGTTGAGTCAAATGAACAATAAGTTCAGATGTATGATGTTTGTTTTTGTTGAGGTCTTGTATAAATGTAAAAACACTTTATTTTGTCAATGTATTTCCCTCTTCAACAATTGGCAAACCTAATTTCCGACAAAGTGATTACACTGTTCTTGTACATGCTAACAAAATAAACATTTTTTTTCCTCTCCTTATTCTGTTGCTTAGCAGAAATGATTCACTTTGGTGAGTCTCACTCACCTGCAACTTATGTTACAGCTTTATTTGGGGGGAAAATGGCCTTGTGAAATTTTTTTTGAACAGTTTATAGTATGAGGCCCACTTAAAACTGCAGTATGCAAATTTTATGAAATTTTTTTTTTTACACATTTGTTGAAATTGTGCTGCGAAAAAATTGAGCTCCTCTGCCTTCTCCCAGAGGCCCCAGCAGCAGCAACAGCAGAAATGCAAAAGTTGATCAGAAACATCCAGAGCTGACACAAGAGTGTCATCAATCACTGTCGCTTCCCCTCCCTTTGCTCTCTGCTGTGCCACACCACCCCTTTTTAAGTGTAATGTGTCCATTAATACTTAACTCACAGTAACGATGAGTTCTGCTCTACCCTGTTTTGGTTTCTTACGAGCTCTTTGTTCAGACTGCGTGTTTATAGCAGGCATCAGCTGCTGGCTTCTGGTGGGACTGATGAGCTGCATCCCACCGAGCAGCCCGAGCTGAGGAGGAGGAGACATGGGAAACATGATGATGGACGCTCTGTTGCTCTTTAAGCTGTGTGAGCGAGGCTGGCCTTTTTCTCACCACTTGGGACTGTGCACCTGCTGCTGCAGTACAATACATCACCACACGGTGGGACTGCTTGCCTACTTGATTTGGAGGTTAGCCGTGTGGATTCTTTGACGGATTCAGGCTGTGACGCGTGGTGAAACTGGCACGTTATTTCTGAAGTTTAAATTAGTACTTGCGGAGAGATGCAAGCGTTTGCTCTTTTGACATCCACCTCCGCGCTTGGCTTCACAGACATGGATACGCAGACGCCCCCTGCAGCGGTTAACGGGGGTTGATTTCCTGCTATTTTCCCAGGAATCTCAGCGCCACGCTTCTACATTCCTCCGTGACGCAAAGAGCGAAGATGGAAGTGCGTCAGATTGAGCTGTCTCGTGCGTTACTGAAGTTTGTATATAAAAGTAGCTGCGCAAAGGCGCACACCTTTTGCGCTGTGCCACACTTACGCGGCACGACGTCGTTTTTGGAGCGCTTTGGCTCCAGTGGAGAACATCGCCAATAGAGGGAGTGAGAGAGATCAAACATCATCAGAGATCAAACCGATCTGCTGGTGAATGTTGATGGTTTACTAGCGTTTAGAGTTTTTTTTATTTATTTTTTTGTGAGGTGATATGTGCTTCTAAGCACCTTTTAAATAAAAGATATAAATATCTATACTGCTTCAAAACAAGTACATTGCCATGGTTATTGCTTCATCTGGTGGCAGACTTCCGGGTATTTATACTAATTTAAATATGTATTTATGGGTGGAGTGGCGACGGGCGGACCATCAGCTGCGCTCTATTTCACGCAAATTGAAAGGTGCGCAGCCATGTGCGTGCGTGCGCACGGCTTTGCACGTCTGGATTTGTTTGTGCGCCGCGCTTTTCTGAATGTGTCCAAACTGCGCACTCGGACACGAGGGCCCGGGTTTGAGCATTTCTGGGTAAATCTGAAAATGGCTGCCCGGACATCTCCCATCAAATCTGATGGAGTTTGGAAAGTCCTGGAAAGAAATTTGCCAAACCGCCTAAAGACAGACTGTGCGACGCTTGTGGCAAGATATTCAGAAAGACTGAAGGTTGGAATTGCTGCCAAAGATGGATCAACAAAGCTCTTAATAGTTATGTAAATATGTTTCCTTAGTTTTCCATTGTAATACATTTGCAGAAATACACAAAATTGTTTCACATTGCCATAATGAACTGTCAGGGAATAAATAATTAAGCTACTGAACGGTTTGACAACAAGGATAAAATATCTGTGTGCCTGAACTGATTTTTTTGTAAAGTGCCTAAAAATGACAAATGTTGTGAAGTGGCACTATATAAATAAAGTGAACTGAATCACTGAGTTAAATAAAGATATTTAACTTTTTCACAATATTCTTCTTTAAATGCACCTGTAACCGCTGTGTACAACTTACTAGCACCATGCACACAATTTACAAATGGGTTCACTTGAAAAGAAAACTACGGAACCACAAGTTGGGTTTGTTGCAACAAAAACAGAACTCTACTGAAGATGTTTTGCTGCAGCTTGAGGTAGTAATTTTAATGAAATTAAAACGTTTGTTAAAAAAAAATTATATAAGAAAAATCTAAGAATTCCTCTATAATTGAGCCATGTCGGCACACTATTGTCACAAAGTACCAGGTAAAAGTTTGGGTACACCTCCCATAGCTTCTGGAAAGCCGTCAGTGGATGTTTTTGTGAGTGATATTGATGAAGAAAATCAGTAATAAAGAAAAAGATTACAAACTGGGGAAAAAAAGCACCAGAAAAATGTTCACCATGCTTGGATCCGCCAAAGAAAAACATTAGTGAAAGAAATATGTGAAAGTAAAAGTTAGAAAGGTGCAGTTAAAAGAAAGGTTCACTAAAAGTTATTTGGAGGGCTTTTTGTTCATCCAAACAATCTCCATGTAGAAAATAATCAAAATACAGAACATAATTTATCAGGAGGTGTGAGCCTTTTTTTTAAAACAAGTACTCTACATATATTTCCATTGTCCATAATAGAAACATTATACATCAAAATATGATAAGGCAGAGGTAGTCTCATAGACTTTCACATACATGTACACACATATGTGTGTTTGAACATACAGTCACAGTATTCACTCTAATGTAAGGTTTAACAAATTAGAAGATAAATGGGAAGCTGCTCTGGTTCCTAGAAGGTCCTACATATTAATAATAATAAAAAAATTAGTCAACCTCAGATGAACAAGATTACTTAAATAAATCCAAAACTCAGAAGCAGTGGATAGTAAAAGTCTACCCTTACTGTATCCATGGGAGTTAAGAAGCAGCGAACTGCTCCTGACAGGATGGATTTATTCACCAAGTCATCATCGACAGAAAGTAGCTATTTTGGCATTTTGCTGGATACACGCGAAGGACATAACCCAACAGAAGCAAAATTACTGCCAGCAATCAGGGATTGTCCATTAGCTGACTTAGGTTTTTAAATCTAGAGGCAACTGGTACGTAAGGAGCAACTACACATCCACATGTGTCTGATACGTACTCTTGTAACTACTGTAAGTGCTTTAATCTAGTCAGCATTACACACTCTCACAACAGTAGCAGATTAAGATCCTGGGGCAACGCTATGAAAATTAGAATAAGCTTCATAAAATTTCTTAAAAACAACAACAATGAAAAAAACCTCCACAAAATTAATACTAGGGAGAAAAATCTACCAACCCCTCAAGGCATTAATTTTTCATTTTCACCTCATTTTTCCACACAAAGCTGAAAGGAACTCATTCCTTAATATATTTTAATTCCCTGGAGCAGGAAGACATGGACTCCATACGAAGGTATCTGCTTCCTTCTGCCTTTCAAGACATCCTAGCAAAACCAATTGGTCAAAATGAAACATATGACAAAAAAGCAAATTGGAGAAGTGCCTGCAAATGTCTTTAAATTAGACTTCAGCATTAATTTAGAGTAACATGTACAGCAGGTCAGTGGTTTCTGGGACAAAATACAATGACTAAGAAACCCTTAGACCCCTTCAGAGGTGAACGATCACGCATTCATACAGCTACATGAACTGCTTTGTGCAGAAAAACATGCCATCAAATTCTGGGCACATACCGTTAGAGCAGAGGTCTCAAGCTAAAGTCCTAAAGCACTTTTAGATGTGTTCCTTCTCCTACATACCTGAATTAAATGGCAAAACTGTCATCCTGGCATGCAGTCAAGCTCCAAAGAGTTCTGCTCATGAGCTAATACCAGAGCCAGGAGTGCTAAAACACAGAGACATCTAAAAGTTGCAGGACCCTGGCCCTTAAGGACAAGAATTTGAGACCTCTGGTTTAGACGGCCTGCTGTCCAGAAGTTTATGTTTTAATTTTTAAAAGTTCTTCTCCTTTAACATGTTTATCAAGATTGATATGGTAGAAGATATCTTGCAGCTAATGTGCTTACAGAAGACAACGTTTTCGAACAAGCGGAGTTTTTGAGTTCAGTTCACTGCAAATGAGAAACTTTGGTAGGTACCCATTTGATGGACAAATGTTTCCAGATATCTTCAGCAACTTAACACAAGCGATATTACCGCAGCTTCCTAAATCCACATTAAAGCAGCAGATGAGAAACAGCCTAAGAAAATTCCATCAACACTTTTGTCAGAAAGCCACAGATGTTCAGAAAAGAAAGGATGCTCTTCAAGATATACACATTTAGAAAAGGTGACTGTTTTTTAGAGGTTACATATCTGCATTCAAACGTTAATCCATTTTCCATGTTAAAGGTGGAGGGATTTTGAGGGTTGGGAAGGTAGTGAATATCAGCTGAATTTTCTAAAACATTCAAATCTTTTCAGTTATGAGGTAATACTAATGAGGTGACTTTGTTGCTTGGATGCTTGTTTTCAAATAATATGTACAACAATATATACAACAAGTGCATATGACAATACTTCAGGAAAAGAGCCGTTTACTGCTGAAAAGCATGGTAATAGTGAGGTAGGGAGCTGGAATTGCTTACAGCAGGACTATATGACTGAGGTAGCTGGCTGTGGTTAAAAACTCCTGAGCCTTGTGGTGCATGAGACTGGGGGGGCTGGAAAAAAGTGAAAGGCCCTGGTGCTTGGGAGGAGAACCCTGACGAAGAAGATGGAGAAGAAGTGGGGGAGGAGGATGGTGGATAACCCATCACTAACCCCATGTGAGGGTTATAAGGTGGCAGGCTGAAAGGCAAAAAGCTAAGCAGCGACCCAAGGTCCACATTAGTGTTGCACGGCAAATCATTAGAGACAGCAGGGGTCCTAGGTAATGCATGCGTGTCCCCACTGACATCCAGCCCGTCACCCAAAATTTGCTTCTGGGGTGAAGCAGAAATGGAGGAATTCACGGTGCTTAGTTGAGGTGAAGGGTTACTCTGAAAGTCCAGCAGGAAGCTCTCCATGTCAGAGCGCGGGTATGAGGAAGGCCCGTACTGATACTGTGACATGTTAGCATAGGGTTGCTGCTGTGATGCTGCTGGTGGCTGAAGGCCATGGCGAAGTGAGTGGGAAGAATGTGTCGTCAGATGATGTCCTACACCCATGCTTGAGGACAAGGACCCTTGGACGAGTCCATGAGGATGCCCCATAGCAGGGATTAGATTTGTCAAGGTGTAGGAAGTGCTCATTTCCCTAGTAAAAGCTTCAGAGGTATCCTTAGAGGCAGAACTTATCACAGAAGACTCTGGACTGGGCTCTTCTTTGACTGGACAGGGGTTGGTTGAGGTTTGAGGAGCCACATGAGTGCTGGGAGTAGATGGCGGCATCAAACCAGACTCCTGTGCATGGCTCTTTTTCAAATGGCGGGTCAGGTGGTCTCTGCGGCCAAATCGTTGTGCGCAGCATGGGCAAAGGAAGTCACGGCGACCAGTGTGCACCACAGCATGACGACGTACATCCTTGCGGGTATAAAACCGCCGGTCGCATCGTTCACATGAGTACTTCCTCTCTCTCAATGGCACATTAGGGCTTCCCTCTGTTGAGAGGGGCGTGTCACTGTGTTCACCCAGGTTCTCCAACATAGCTGCGGACTCCTTCATGCATTGCTGGCCCGCCGTAGTGCTGTGGAAGGCAACCAGGTGGCGTTTGTAACCCAACTGAGTGTTGTACTGTTTTCCACATTCCTGGCATTGGAAAAGCTGCCTACTGGCTGGGAGGTCCTCATAAACATGCCCTTTGAGATTATCCTGGTGAAACATGGTCTAATTACATGGAAATTGGTGGCTCTGCAGCTGCGCAGGACGCTGACCAAGAGCCTAAGCAGATACAAACAAGAGTCATGAGGAGAAATAACCATTAGTCACTGGTATTGTGGTTATTCTCTTAACTCCAGAATGAATGATTAGTATGAACCATTTTTTTTTTAAAGTTTGTTGTTCTTCTGCAGGAATTCAAAAATGATCCATTTACTGTTGATGGGGAAAGTCCAGCATTTTAATTGTGCTAAAGAAGATGCCATAGCAACCCCAAAGGGGCTGCAGTCATGAGATGTTTTCAGAGGACGGCTCAGTTTAGTGTTTTTTGAGAAGGGCAGTTGTGCTGGCCTCCAGTCCAGTTTAGCACCGAAAAGATCTAAAAACAGACAGTGCCAGCTGCCAAATCACCTGGGTAGTCCACCGTCATTACAAACCTGAAAATTGAACACAAAAAGACAAACAATGTCACTAAATGTTAAAATCACCAGTAAATGGCGCAACAAAAGGTATGTCAAGTAGAAACATGAATTACTGCAGAATCATGGAAGGTATAGAATCAGCTCACTTAATTTGCAGATGCACATGCAATATACATCTATATGTATTTATTCGCACATTTAAAAATGCTCAACACTAAAATATCATAGACATTTTCATTGAAGTAATATCTGTCAGTATTTTGATTCTTAGCGTTCATGTTCCTGCCACTGCAACCGCACTCTGGGACGCTGCAGGATATTATGGGAGGGAACCCAACTCCCCCGTTTGCATTGCTTTATAGACAATGACCAAAGTTTGTTTAATTTTTGTCCTAAAGAAATTTCTGATTCACATGAGCAGTCAGCACCTTCAACTCTTGCTTCTACTGATTTATTTACATGTTTACCAGACAGCAGATGTCATATTTCTGAGAAGTTGTCGTATCTTTGCGCCTGCAATCAACCATGTGCTGACAAATGGACAGAAAAGTTTCCTCCTATTTCATGTGGCTCTGAAGCTTGTGCTAAGCTACAAGCTACTTATTTTTGGGGGAAGAAGTTGGTGTTTCATAAAGTGTTTTTACATGGCTGACCCCTTTATTCTGTTGGTGTGTCCCTAGTACGGGAGCTGCAGCGGCCAAAACACTACTTTATATCGCAAAGCTAATTCTGTAAAATTCATTCCAGTTCAGTCTGTGGACCAGCAGCAGATTTAACTCATCATGAAGCAGAATTTGATTTAGAGGCCCTTCTTCCCGCTAAGAACATCAGCATTTTAACATAGATTTAGTCAAATCTGGTAGAAGGTTCTCTAATTGAAGTGGCCAACCTGAAAAGCAATCAGTGACAATGGTAATTTACTGAGACACATTTGTGATCAGACAGAGCTCGATCTCAAAGATTAATCTCAGATCAGATTGTAGCTGTGGTAACTAAACTAACTACTTACTTTGGGAGCCCAAATTATGTAACAACAAACAAATAAATACTTTCAATCATTTAAACTTTCAATCATCTATAACCTATGAAAGCATAACTTTTTGAATGGAATTATGGGAATTAAGCAACTTTTGAATTATATTCCAACTTTTTGGCAAGGCGCCTGGTATATTTCACAGACATTCAGACCTAATTGTGTCAACATGTGGGGTCTGGGCCAAAATCCCCAGGATGTATAAACTTTTGGTTTGGGCCATTTTGGGAAGTTCCTGTGGTCCTTCTGAATTTAAGAATAGTAAACAGAGTCGTTTCACAGTAAATGGCTTCACCCAACCAGCAAGGGTGAAAAGAACGTTTTTATGTTAATCATGTCCTCTAGAAAAATGGCCCAAAAACCCCAGAATAATAAATAAATAAACCATCAACTTCACTAGACTTTGTACACTTATGATGACAACTGTGTAGCAAACTTTTAGTCCCTGTAGAGTTTGCAGCAGACAAAGTGAGACTTTCAAAGCTTGCTCTGGAACTGATGCGGCCGAATCGATGCCTGCAGACCAGTCCCAGGCTAAACTTCGCTGCTAGCCTGCTGGCGGAAACTAACTTTGCACAAACGCGTTTCTGACTCGTGTGTTCGGCAGCAAGGCGCCGGGTTTCTCTCCGGGTCTTCTCCAGAGAGCAGCTGGCGTGTCTTTGACAAACGGAAGACCTTCGTCCAGAGCAGGAGGGTTGCTCGTAAACAAAAGATGAACGCTTGAAAACTTCTGCCGAAGGTTGTTGTGACTTCAATTCTCCACTTTTCTTGCAGGGAACCGGACCAGACAAACGGGTTGGGTTCTCCAGGCAGACGAAAACACCGCCGTACTCACCGGACGCATGCCTTTCCTGCTTTCCGCCCCGTTTTGCGCTTCACGGCGACATGATGGGAGAAGTTTGGAAGCTGTTTGTTGGAGTTTGGGCCTGGACAGCGGGGCGCCGCGCTGGAGCCCAGGCATTCTGGGAGAGTGACGTCACGTAACGACGGGGAGGACGACTGTCCTGCAGATATTAGACTAGAGGCAAAATTCAGCTGCTCCTATTTTGTCTTTCTTCTTTATTAAAGGACAAAGTACAACAAGTACACAAAGAGTAGTAGTCTCAACTTGAGGCACGGGGTATAACAACACCATGTACATGAACCACATTTAGAAAAAAACACTCATTATACTCAATATATGCCTCACAGTGTTTTAATAGTAGCTGAATGTAATTGAATAGGTAGAAAATTAAAAGTCACAAAGCAAGAGGTTTTTCTATTGAATTTACACTTGTGATTAATAATAAAAAACTGCTAAAAATGCAATCAAATTAATTTAAAAAAAGATAATTCATAAAACAAATCTCCTATATACACTATCATCATAAACCGATAGACCTCTCCCCAAAACATGTGAACAATTTCAGTTGTCAACATTTCACATAGTAAAAAAGTTTGCATTCATATCTTTTTAATAATATTTATATATATATATATATATATATATATATATATATATTATATAATATATATATATATATATATATATATATATATATATATATATTTTTTTTTTTTTTTTACCATATGATTAGCTGGATACTTTTGTAAGAATTCTCTCAAATTTTTTGTTGTTAAAAATGTGTAGAGAAACATCCACACTTCTTCCCAATTTATATTTTTAGTATTACATCACCGGTAAGCAATAACACATGTTTTTGAAAAAGGGCAAGAATTTCTTGATGTTTAGATATGCCCACTAAACATCTTCCCATGCGAAATCCATGTCTAATTTCTTTTTCTTTTGCGTTATTTTGCAAAAGTATTGCATTCACTTTTCATACATACTGGGTTAAAATTTGGTTAAATTTGGCCTATTTTGTACGCAGTCACAGTGATGACAAATGTTAACTTAAAATTGCAAAAACCTTAGAGACGCAGTGAAACCGTGCTTATAAAGTCTTTGGTGCAAACAATGTATGAAAATCAATTTAGCTTGTTAATGTTTGTATAAGATGAAAACTGTCCTTTAATAATCAGACTAACACAAAAAACACATAGTAATTGATGTCAGTTGACTTTATTGACCTAAAAAATAACTCAAAAATAGTTTGAATGTATTCTTTCTTTATTTTCTTCTTATAGAAAGTTTTTGTTTATATCTTAGAAGGGAAAGAGATAGAAAGCTCATGTTTGGCTTTTGCATATATGTTTATGGTGCATTTGTATCTTAAAGAAGAATATATAAAACTGCTGGTATTTCACCAATCAGATATTAAAAGACATTAAACAAACTTCACAGGTGCAGTTGAGGTATTATTTGAGCTTTGTGATGTTAATCATCCACCCCAAGTTGTAAAACACTTTGTTGAAATTGCTGTTATGTTAAGTGTAAAAAAATTATTTGGACTAGAAATGAAACAAAATATTCTTGGTAAAATTTTGTTAGCATTGGCCAACTCTTACACTATTTCATCATATCTTGTTGCAAAGATTAAAAGTTCCTAACACCTTTAATTGACCTGAAATACATTCACTGTCTAAATGTGAACTATCTTACCAAATGACTCAAAGAGAAGAGCTAATGCTTCGTTTGTGGACAGCAGAGCTCTGTTTCTCATGTGGTGGGACATCTTTGTATGTAGCGGCATAATTGCCCAATAGAAATTATGCTGGCTAACGAATTATGTAAAGTTAATCACAGCCAAAACCAAAGATATTATTACACAGCAATGTGAAAATGCTGAAGACACTATTTGTATAGTTACAATAAATGAGCACAGAACACCAAGTGACAGATGATTCACATTTTTGTTGCATATTCTCTTTGTGATTTTAATTTGTCACTGTCCTGCATGGCAGATCAGTTACTTTGCTTTGGTGCTGCATAATTTGTTCCTAAAACAATTATTTAGCTCAAACACTAGAAGAATAGAATAGAATAGAATAGCATTTATTGTCATTGAACAGGATTCAACGAAATTTCTATTGCAACTCCCGTGCAAAAAGTCAAAATATACAATATTAAATAAACAAACACACAATAATAATAATATATACAACTAAAATTAACTAAAGGCACTCAATCCTTTGGGTATGCTGGGATCCCGCCATTACATTAAAAAAACAAAAAACAAAATTCATTTTGCTCACTTTATTATTTAAATAATAAAATGATCATTCAAAAAATATTATATGACTTTAAATGGTCTTGAGAGAAACAACAGCAGCCTCACTTATTGTTTTCTGGTTAAACTTTTCAAAGCACTCAGCACAGATGTATGGAAGCCCATTTCCATCACCCTTATGAAAAAATAAAAGTGTGCCTCATAATTATGAGATCTCATTATTATGAGATAGCAAAGTCATAACTGCGAGGTAGTATCTTATTATTGTCAACAAAGTCATAACTATGACACAGCAAGTCACAATTTTCAGATAGTGTCATGAGATCGTAATTATAACATACTATCTTAATCATCTTTGCTCGTATAATCCAATTCTTAGAAATTACTTAGTTTCTAATTGCCAACTGTTCATTAATTATCTGCAAGCCCTAAAATTAATTTACCCCAAATGTATTTCTGTTTCCTGTCTAAATGTTGCGATGTAATTCACATTTAAATCTGTTACGTCTTAAAGTTACTAACTTGTAAACAGTATTTTATGGAACAAGCAGACTCCGTTGCTTTGTTATCGTAAAGTGCAACAGCATAAGCCGCCTATTTCCTGGAGGCGGATAGGTTTTGTTGCATTCCTGCGGAGGATTTGACCTCTGAACTTAGCTTGTCCTGCAATGGTACGGCTGCTAACACTGTAACTCTGCCTCGACAGGAAGATGTGTTTGTAGTGTTGGTTTGGACTCGACAGCAGACACACCAGCAACCACTGCACAATAGCGTTGCCTCGCGTCGAAACGAGCCTATTCTTCGACTCTACTTAGCTGAACAGTTCAGTTGCGATTGCTTTTCGGTTGCTTAGTAGCCACCCAGCAGAGGCGAGCGGTAAAGAAATGAAGGACAAGCAAAAGAGAAAGAAGGAGCGGACCTGGGCTGAAGCAGCTCGAATGGTAAGGAATAAAACTCGGTTTGCATGTAAACCATGAATGTTTTAGAAAAGAAACGATTTTAATCCAGACACATTGCTGCCTGTGGACATTCCACTCACGACCACATCCTAGCTTCTGGTGTTTAGTTAGCCAACTATTAGCAGCTAGCAGCTTAATCACATGAATGCGAGAATTAATCTTGCCAACAAATACTTTGTGTTTAGCTTGAACCCCAGTCCACTTTTACGATTGTTGTTTTTGCGTAAAACGTGTCTTGTGTAATGTATTAAAACGCGACAAAGTGAAACCCCTAAAGCTGGGCAACAAATAGCCGCTTCTTATTCAGGTCTTTGTTTGCTAGGCAGCTAGTTAGCTAGCTGGTTAGCCAGTAGCTCGACGCTTTTGAGCATCTAACAGCCTCAATGCGCAAATATAGCACAAACTGGCACACAACGCGACTCCAATACCTAGGTAATGTGTATGCAACATATATTTAGGGGTATATGTGAAGCAAAAAATTTATTTGGAAATAACCTTTTGAAGGCGAAGCTATTTTAATAATATCAAGGTTAACGTCTTCAAGTGTCTTGAGAATTTCCTCTCGCTGTTAATGATGCACCAGAGCTGGATTCAATGTAACCTTCGTGTAAAGCAACACCCAATTAAAAACTAAAGCAAAGCATTTTGCAGGAGGAGCATCGATGGTTGTAATTGAAGTTTTTCAGTTGCCAGAGACATAAGTACAAACACAGCAGGTTTGTGGTCAGGATAAGGCCTGTCTTGGTTTAGCCTGTCTGCAAAATTAATACTGCTATTGGCTGGGTCTTATTTAAAGTAACAGACACCACACATACTCTTGTAGTCATTGTTTTCTAAATGGTGACATGTTTTCAAATGCATAGATAAATACAAGTCTTCACTTTATGGTCTTCAAATTATTCTTTGATTACAAATCAGTTTTCTGGCCGATTGCCAATGACCGATCTTTAAAAAGACTGACATGTCCATTATGATTTTGGCCGTTGCCAATTTGTTTTGTCTGAAACGTCCTAAATGTAGCAACCAATTTGCTAAAAGAGGGGTAACTACTGCTAACTGCAAATGTGCAGACATGACCTGGTCTGTCGGTCAAACTTCTCTCACAGGAGAGCAGAAGAGGACAGTGGTTGATTTTTAGATGTTTGCTGAGATGGATAAGATCAAGTCCAAGTATCGGCTGATTACTGATCTCTCAAAATTAAGGAAATCGGCACAGTTGCCAGAGACATAAGTACAAACACAATAGATTTGTGGTCAGGTTAAGGCCCAACCAGTCACAGGAAGTGACTGGATAGGCACTTCTGAATTTTTGTAACTCGGCGCAAATCAGAGCCAAGCTTCACACAAACTGGACGATTTGGAAGGTTTTCTTGCAGAGCTGGTCTCCTTGCAGTGTCATTTATATAAACCCTCTATGAAGGTTAATTATATGAGAATATAGGTCCAACGATCGCCTTGACTATAAATGCCATACCGCTGTCTTGGCTCCTGCAAAAGCGTGACTATAACTCGGCCATTAGTGGGAAAACTCACTGGCGATAAAGTAAATGTAACAATTTTTTTTTTTCAAAACTTTATTTATGCTTTAATGTGAGGTACAATGTGAAGGCAGTACAATAGTTACACAGTTAACAATGTACCTTTAACCTACAAACCTAATAGGGCTAGAACAAACCCGAACAAACCCACATATATACAGACATGAAATACATTAAGTGGATCAGATCAGAGTAAATAGAAACAGATACATTAATAATAATAATAATAATCAAAACAATCAAACATTTTATGACATTTAAATCCATATCAAACTCTGATGATCGCTAGTATATTTTGTGCAAATATAGGGCATGTATATGTATATCTTGTATGCTTCACATTGTTTTTAACATAAATAGTAATAAACTTAATTCATTCTGAAAGTTTGGGGCTTTTATTTGTGCTGTAAC